CCTTCTGCCTCAGGCCCCGACTTTTCCTGCTGCTGCTCCACTCCACTGGGTGTTCAACTTAGACTCATTTAAAACAGAACTTGAGAGTGATCCGTTAGAATCCCATGGCTTTTTTTCAAGGAAGTACAACATGAGTAGTGGGGAAACTACTAATTTTAGAACCAACAATAAACTCTCTCCTCTCCATGTCACAGACTGAAGACAGACAATAACCTCTCAAATTCTGATAAACTCATGAGATACAAAAAAGCCAATATTAGCAGTTCTCTCCACAATCCAAATTCTAGCCACAATTAAAAGTGTGGTTGAGATAGAAGATTTCTATGTGAACAAATTTTGATGTTCAAAACATTAATGGTTGCAGTACTCTTACATCTTCTAATTCAGCTTTTAATTGCTGACTGAAATAGGCTCAATAGAAAAGAAAATAGACGTTATACTTTCAAAATGTTCATACTGCCTGAAGCTAATACCAGGAAAATTTAGGACTCTTCCAAAGGTATGTTGGCACCACCTATGTGTCATAATTCATTATAAAATAATGAAGCAGGCTTCTAAAAAAATAATGCAGCTGACATTCTATTAAAAGAAAAAAAGTACTCCCGGAGGCTCAATAATCCTAGTAGGCAAGAGTTTTCAGAGGTGGCATGATGCTGATATAAGGAACTATTTACACGTGTTAGTGCCTTTTACAATGAAGATTTAAATTAGTCATTTATGAACTGAAAATTGAACTAAATATTTTCAGTGGGTGTCTATGAAAACCATCTAAATATGGACTATGCCTTCTGGCTATGTCTAGACTGGCATGATTTTCCACAAATGCTTTTAACTGAAAAGTTTTTCCATTAAAAGCATTTGCGGAAAAGAGCGTCTAGATTGGCACGGATGCTCTTCCGCAAAAGCACTTTTTGCGGAAAAGCATCTGTGCCAATCTAGATGCAGTTTTGTGCAAGAAAGCCCCGATCGCCATTTTCGCCATCAGGGCTTTTTTGTGCAAAACAGTTTTTAGCTGTCTACACTGGCCCTCTTGCACAAAAACATTTCCGGAAAAGGGCTTTTGCCCGAACGGGAACGTCAAAGCATTTGCGCAAGAAGCACTGATTTCGGACAGTAGAACGTCAGTGCTTTTGCGCAAAATCAAGCAGCCAGTGTAGACAGCTGGCAAGTTTTTCTGCAAAAGCAAGTGCTTTTGTGGAAAAACTTGCCAGTCTAGACGCAGCCCTCCAGAAAGGGGGTCTGGTTCTCCTTTCACTTTCATTCATGTAGAGAAGGAGTAACTCCACTGCTGTCAGAGGAGAATCGGTTCAAAGTAGGAATAAGAGCCTCCGGAAAAGGGCGCTTTTTCCGGAGGATCGGGGCCAGTGTAGATGCTCTTTTCCGGCTTTTCTAAAAGCCGGAAAAAAGCGGCGGACATTTTTATTTAAATGCCGCGGGGGATATTTAAATCCCCCGCGGATTTCCCTATTACGATAGCTGAAATTAACATGCCCCTTCCGGAAAAGGGGCCAGTGTAGACGTAGCCCAGGTGTATATGAACATGGGATACTGGAAGAATGGCCCAAAATCTATGTTGTATCATTTTATACCAATATGTTTTCTCCATCTTATTTTTCTGGACAAACCAATCTTCCTTCTTCACTTTGTTAGTGTCCGGTTAGTTACCAAGTTAACTATGAGTGAGAGTTGAGCTTATTTACTGTAATCTTTGTGCTTTTATCAGGGTTTGGCATCTCTGATGAAATTAACACTGTATCCATAAACCCTCTGACCTATGAAAAACGTAGACCCCAACCTTGGAATTTAGACACTTGCTCACTCTCTCTGATGGAACAATGTCAAAACTGAATCTAAACACACCTGAACCTCATAAAAAAAGCAGATTCAGGTCAAAACACTGTGACTCAGGACCATCTCAATTCCTCAAGTTTTCTGTATAACAGTAAGCTCTTCCTTTCATGGCTGGACTAGGCCAGAATTTAGGGAGACTTAGGCTGTGACTCTAGGCAGTCCAGACTGTATTTAATTAGATTTGAACTAGAAAGGCATTGAGAACTACTAGGTTAAATTTGTGCTCAGCCTGCTCCATAAAGAATTTGCTTTGTATTCACTAAAGTCAAGGCCTGTCTCTTATCTATCACAAGAGGTATTACATGTTCCCTGTACTTCTCATGGATACAAATATCAGATTGCCATCCCACACAATCATGCTGCATAAATATCATATTGGGACAAACTGTCTAATCCAACTACATTTAACCCATGGCATTCAAAATATCAGAAGAGTTTAAATTTAACTATTCAGTCATCCACAAGACAACCACACCAAATGTATGTAACATTTTCTAGTAACTTCTAATGCATGTTCTGTCTAATTTTTTTAAAAGTACTTCATGAATGTGGAAGGTCTGTGCTCTATTCACTCAGTAAAGTTCATTCATCCTTAATGCAATGGCAAAATGCAATGAAACTTACTAATTACCAGTCACATCTTAGAAAATGCAGGCCATCATGTTCTGAAATTTATCACAAGTTCCTATAACACAGCAGTCACTGTTAAACAACCCTACTTAAAGCTTCAAGTGCAACCAGTACTATCTGATGTCAAATGGTTTATGCTTTAACAATCTTTCATCACACTCTAAACACAGGAATTATTGTATATTTGTGGACAACAGTACCACATTTGCATCCTGTCATATGCACCTATGTACTTTTAAAATACATAAGTCACCAAGTCTTGTTTTATTGTCTGTTTCCTAGAGCGTTGCTTGAAAGTTTTCACCTAGGACTGTGACACCTGGTCAGTACAATCTATAGTATGTTAGATCAAGAAGACTAGTTAAAGGAATCAAAAACAGTCACAGGTTTTAAAGCCAGAAGGGAACGTTCTCCACGTACAGTAATGGCCAGATGAGGTTCTGTGACCTACACTAGATCCATAACCTCCGCCTAAGTTACCGAGCCAACCATTTACACTAGTTTAAACTTGCATGTGACCTGGACCGCACACGGCAGAGAAAAATAAAACTTCCCCGGGGTTTCTACCAATCTGACCTAGAAGAAATTCCTTTCCAGTCACATAATAACATGACAGATTATATTACATGATATCAAAATATATTAAAAGTGTCCTACTATGTAAAACACGTCTTAAAATATGATAGAAAATCTAGGTAAATAAATATTATAGTTCAACTTTTCCCCATATATGTTTTATATATCTAGAAGTTACACATGAGCAATAAGAAAAGAAAAGAATCCGTTTACTGGGCTAAAAAAAGTGTATCTGAGTACAGCAGCTTTAGAACAACTATGATACACAACTATTTTTATTAACTCCTATGCAATAATTATTGCAGTCATTATAGAGCTGGAATGTTACAATGAAACTTACTGTTAATTATATATAAAATATAATGAAATGTATTTTAAGAGAACTGAATCAAAATTCAGTAAGTGCAATAAATTTTCAGGAAACATAATATTATGACAATCACTATGTCGATGTTTATTTACTATATAAATATACATAAGCACACATTTTTGTACACAGTTGTGAAGTTAAGGGAAATGTGGTCCAGTTACATTGGCCAATTTATATACATACACATGTACAAAGTTTTCCAGACTTGTGTGCATCACAATCCTAAAATTATATTGTGTCACCTCAATAAAATAACCTGATTTTCTGAGGTGTTCGGCATCCCAAAAAACACTGAAGTGAGCAGCATCTTTGAAAATCAGACATACACTGCTCATTAACTTGTGACTAACAAAATATTTCTAATCTCGAGAAATAACGGTATATTACCAAATTTCTGATGACAACAATTACTCTCACTATTGAAGAAATACTGACATTATTCTGAGAACATTTTTATTGCAGTTAATGCAGGAAGTGAGGGGAGAAATCAATTCTTAAGAAAAAAATTAAGGGCTGATTTTCCCATTTTAAACAACCACAAACTAATTACAGTTCCCTAAATTTCTGCAGTAACAGGGAGTTAAAACGTTCTGCATCTGAATTTGTGTGAAAGTCTTTCTTTTACCGCTATCATAATTTAAGAGTTGTTTTATAATCATTTAATTATATTTAAAGAAGTCCAGCTCCCAAGTAAAGACAGCTCTGTCCCCTTAGTTTCCACTAACCCATCTCAAATTCCCCAAGCAACTGCCCTAATTGAAGTAGAGTAGCCAAATAAATCCCATAATTGAGTTCAATGTCTGGAAGTTTGTTTATTGATGTTGTTACTAAAACATTTATCATGTTGGGAAATTTATTTGCTGAGAGAATCCTTGGAATGTCATTTTAAAAAGTACTATGGATTGGAAAACATAAAATATCCACACAATTATTTTCCTTATACCACACATGTAATTAACACTTTAAATGCTTTGGAAATAACTAGCTAATTAATCATAAAATGTAAAATATAAAATATGTCATATTTTACTCATTTTACAATAAGCTGATTATAGTAGGGTATAGTCTAACTCAAAGGGAAAATGTTTTATCAGCTCATATCAATTGGAAATAGCAGGTGAAATAAATTAATTATTGCAGCTCTCTCATGTGACATATAAAAGGAACAAAACATGAATGAATGTTTAAAGCATGCCTTGTAGACCAAACGTTCTTGAACACTTTGTGAAGTTGACATATGTATCTGTGTTTTAAAATTTACAACAGGAGGTGAGGTCATTTCTTAAAATAAATGACAACAGATAAGCTCACAATTCACACACTCATAGTGTTGCCATTTAAGTATACAACATATATACTAACGATTCCAATGATACAGTGAAGGACTGAGATAAAACGATCCTGCTCTGAAATCATTTTGTTGCACTCCTACAACTGGAACATCATAGCCCCAACTTGTATCAAGATAAGTGGAGGCAAAATGTTTAAATAGCTATATTTTTGGGGGGAGAGGGTGAAAGTTTCTTAAACTCATTTGCCCCAGCTGTTTCAGAGAAATTAAAAAGCCTCCTACCTTTCTGTACACCAGCATGTTTGGGGATTCATCAGCCACCCCGTTGCTGCTTTGCCCATAATTATTTCCTTGCGCCATGTCCCAATGCAATGATCCGCTGACAAGGACTGCGCTGAGCAATTTGCCACTGCGAAAGGTAAGAGCGGTCTCAGTAAGACACAGCGCAGCCCCCCCCACCCCCCGCCACACACCGCACTGATGATTAATGGAGTTGGCTTTCCCACGTTCCCATCAGTTTCTCCGCCAGATATTTACACTGGGGCAAAGCGGCTAATTCACCATTTACTGTCATCCCCCACCCCCCTTGCCTGTAAATAATGAAGGCGGGCAATGTACTAACCCAGGCTGGACTTCAATGAATTGTCACTTGAAGCAGCACCGGTGACACCCGGCCGCGCACCCGACGGGAGAGGCATCTCCTCCCACACACCCCGTCTCTCGCCCCCCACGAACCCCTAGGCAGGGGAGCATCTTCGGGCTGGCTCCGCGCTCCAGGGGCCG